CAAAAAATGCTTTTGCAAGACAGGAACCTTTGGTCAACACTGATGCAATAATCTGCAAGGGCAGGTGTAAGTTGTTAGTTAAAGTCACTCTTAGTACAAATTGTTTTTGTTTGTCATTTATTTATTTATTTCATTCACTCACCTCTATTTTTTCAGTGCTCTTCTGCTCTCACTTGAATAACCTATGCTATATATCAAAGTAGATTTGTTTAGTGGCTCGACACATAAATACATAATGCTTGGACAATTCCAGTATAAGTACACTTTTAAACAAGTTTATTAGTTAGTGGTTAGAATAGGGAAATGGGTTCCTGCATTAACACAATACATAAACTTGAATAACTTGATTTTTTAGTAACTTAATTCATTCTTTGCAGTAGGAAAAAAATAACATCTTCCATCTCGGGGGCATCAATAATTCAGTGAAATAATATGATAGCAGCACAAAGACAATTTGGAAACATTTAAAAAATGAAAGCATTCACCACTCTTTGCAAAAAATAGTTATCAGTGGAAAGTTCATAAAACACAGGGTGTTTCTTTGCAAGTCTTTTTATTTTAAGGGTGAGCAGTGGAAGAAGTTTATTCTTATCTGACTTTAGAAGTAACTCTTTCCTACTCTGTGAACCTTCCCAACATGGAAAGAATAGAAAACAACTTAAAAAAGAAAAATGAAATAAAATCGTATTTTCACAGTTGTTTTTTTTTTTTTTTTTACATTTATTTGCCTCATTTTCGATCAGACAATTAGGTACACGTCAGTACTTCTTTGCTGTTACCTGTTAAATGATCAAAGTGGATGTTTTGCACTTGGCCCTTTATGCAACAACGTGATTAAAGCAGAATGTAAGATTTTAAATACAGAGTTGCACAAGTGTTAGTAACATCCATCTCTGCTGAGAAATACCATTCATTAACTTCTTTATTGGGATAGCAGCACACCATGAAACACTAAGCATATAAGCAAAAAGCCCATGCTATGGATGATGTGTCCCAGTTTCCTACCTACTGACCATTCTCCATCAGCTCATGCTCTTACGCTAGGGTTTACAGTTTGTAGTCTGTGGGTTTTACGCACCTAAATAAGGTGGAACTAGGTAGTTTACCATGTGTGAGACAAGAGCTAGGCTAGAAATTCTTTTGCACTAATCTGTCTAGATGCAAGATAGCTGCAGTCAAGAAGCTATGTAAGCAGTGCTCTCACAGTCCTGATCAAATATTCACATATTCTGCTTCTAGACCACGGCTGGGCAGAATATATAGTAAGGATGATGTTTGATTAGGTTTTTCCATACCTGCTACTGTGAGCATGCTCTTGGACACTTTAGAAATCCCCACTCTTAAGTGACTCAATATGGGTTTATAAGACTACCGTTAGCCTCCTGTTTTCAAAACGTGTATAATTCTGTTAATGTACTGAAAGCCTGAGTAACTTTTAATTACTATCACTGAGTGTTTTGTTTTGAAATGATAAGGATTTAGGCTTTTAACTAAAATAAATAAAGTCATCCTGATCACATTAGACCTGAGCACTACAAATGCTTGTATACATTTTTAATTTTGAGCAAATGAATGGCACTTTTCAGTCAGTGAAATAAATTACACAAGTAAAGTTATATACCCACAAAAGAATTTACATACAGGTTTATTTTGCAGTGTCTTGGTTTTCTGTTGATATATCTGTAAAATGAAACAAGATGTTCTACAAGCAGTGGCATTTAACAAAGTGCATTTGTAGATCTCTGCACTGCATATTTAATCTGACTCTGCATTGGTTCACCTTTTCACATTTCTTTTATGAAAATTCAGCCTGAATGAAGTCAATTAACTTAAGATATAATTAAACCTATTTCAATTAGTGGTCCAAACCATCTTGACTGAAGTCTCTCATCCCCCTCCCAAATTTAATCTTACAACAGGCATCAGTTACACTGCCCACAGGAAGACCCAGAGGAGCTGCTTTGCCCTGCCCCCACCATGCTGATGCCTGGCTAGCTGTGTTTCTTATGAAATGGAAATTTGCCCTTGTGTGAAAGGGCAAAAAGAAAGATTTCCTTGAGGGAAATCTTGGCTGCTCCTTTCGGGCAGCTTGCTGTCTGCTTTACACAGCTGGGGCCAAGACTGAGGTTTGAACCTAGTAAGTACTGTGGGTTTCACAGTAGATGAGTAGTCTAATTTATGCTGTTGGGAGTGTTTGAAATGGGTGTACGGTGTTAAAATTTTCAGAAGCGATGGGAATCCACAACACCCAGCACTCCAGGCAATATTAACGGGCGTGAGCTTCACACTCCAGAAAAGCAGATTCTTGAAGGGTGTGCTTGCTCTTCCTTCCCTTGGCATGCTGGGCCCGCTACTGCTGTCTGACTGCAATGAGAATTACATGCCCAATTCAAGGAAAAGTGTTTGGCTCAAAGTATATATTTCTTAAGGGAACAAGAAGTTTTCTAAGAGACATTTCATGGTTAAATAACTAGCTGCAAAATAATTCAAGTAACTGCTGTGCTAGAATTTCTGCAGGGAGTAATTATTGTTCAATTTTTTTCTATTAAGCAGCCCTGAACTGAGCCATGAAAATTGCTTTGAACTCATAGCAGACAAAGAGGAAACTTTTGGACGTCATTTACTTTGGGATGTTCCAAACCAAAGCTATCCTACAACCCAGAAAAGTCCAGCCCTGCCAAGTACTTAATCATTGAAATGAAGAAAGAGACCACAAAACTGAATGAAAAGATGATTGAAACAATTTTCCTACTCTGAAAAAGCCTTTTTTGGAGGTACTGTCAGACAAAAAGGAGGGAACAACAAAGAACCTTAATACATCACTGATGTATCTAACTGGAGGTGACACACAGAGGCCAAGTGCTTGAAAAGGGAACAATGTTGCGATTTGTTCTTGCTAGGAAAGAACTCACACTAGTAATGCATTTCAGAAAATAAGACCTTACTAACATAGTAAAAGAATTTTCTAAGCATATGAGCAAGAGTCTACTCAGAATGTCATTATAACATAATCATAACATAATATTTAAGCACTTATACTTCAAGCACTTACAGACTGATCTTAAAAACATTTACAAAGTACACAAAGATTGTATATTTATAGCACAGTAGTATCAAAGGCCTTAGTCAGGATCAGGTGCCACTGAGCTAGACAGTACGTAAACACTGAGCAATGAAGTCCCTCACCCAAAGAGTTTGTGTCTGGGCTGGGACAGAAGGTACGTTTTAAAACTTTGTTTTGTTAATGTAATCTAACAAATGTTGTAACTACTGGTGAAAGGACAAATATATACTTAAAATGCACATATATCAAAGCCTGGCAAATTAAGAGCTTAAATCTAGTCTGAAACACGATGCAGGAAACATATAAAAAAAAGATATTTAAGAGTAAACCAGATTAAATCTAGTCTGAAACATGATGCAGGAAACATACAAAAAAAAACATACATGCAGGAAACATACAAAAAAAAAAGATATTTAAGAGTAAACCAGAATTGTATGATTATGAAAGCTAGCTGGGAACAAAACTTAATTTTATTAGATCTTGTGAAATATTTGTTTGGAAATACAAAATGATCTTTCCTTGCCCTAAAGTAGCAATCACCAGCTGGCAACATTTTGTCAGCATCAGAACAGAAATGGTCCTGACAAGGGATGTGAAGCAGGGGAGCACAGCAGAAAACAGATTTAAGAGACTATATAGTGTGCTACGGTAGCAAATGTTCATGGCAAAATTTTTCTGAAATCACTGATCCTGCTAAATACAACAGACAAGTTCTCAGCAAAGATGCAGGATCAAACCCTCCGTTTTCCTCACAATGCTTGCTTAATGCATTTGCATTATGTTCATGTAATTTATTAATTCCTATAAATGCATATTATTCATATAAATATTAAATTCACTGAGACACATTCTTTGGACTCTCTGGGTGGGATTCAGTGACCACATAGACACTGAATCTGTGACCCTATGGGCCCACACGTCCCTATTTCCAATACTTGTGTCTGTTTCTGCCTTTCCTGTGCAGCCGATCCTGCCTCTTAGCTCACCCTCAGCCAACACGGTGGTGCTGCACAGGAGGAGAAGGACGTGGTTTGAAGAAAAGACACTGGTATGGCAGTAGCAGATATAGGAAAGGAAAAAAAGGGCATTATTGAATTTTGCTGCCCTAAGAATGAGGGGTTGAAGCAGGACTAAGTTGTTTCTGCAACAGTGAGAGAAGAATCGAGAGAAAGCACAGAATGGAGATGGAAGACCTCTGCACCTTGTTTCTTATTAGCACGATGTTTTTACTCATGCTTAATCTATCCCATTTATCAATTATTCTAAAACAATATTTAAATTCTTTCTTTTGTATCTTGAAGCTTGTCCTCACTGTCATATGCACTGTATTAAAGTCCGCATAATAGTTTTTAGTAGTATTTCTTTTCCTCAGAAACTGGGAGTTCGCTTTTCCACACAAAGAGCTTTGCTATTTTGAGTGTGGAAGAATGTGTATGACTGTTCCTGTAGGCCCCACTCTTAACAAGAGCATAAAGCAAAACCCTGGATGTCTCCCCAGTCCAGTGCTTGAGCCCTGTGAATCTTTTTAAGTTTTTTTTTTTTGTTGTTGTTGTTGCTAAAAAGAATCAGGAAGCCCTCAATTATGTGTTCTTCATACAACACAGAGAAAGCTACTAAAATATTTTAGATAGGAATATCACAGTAAGTTCTGAGATATATGTTGAGATGTCCATAGCCCACCACACTGACAAATATCGAGGTAGATGTGTTGCAAGTGAGATTGCCTCTGGATATGCTTGAGACAAGATTTTTAGGGAACAGGAACAGCTTTCAGAGGATGAGTTGATACAGCTAGAAAAACAGGTAAGCACTAGGTACATAAGTGGCTCTTCAAGTCATGACATCTCACCGTTTCCTTGTGCTCTACTATCTATCTCTGCTTGTTATTTGTGGTCAGGTAAAAGCTTTGGGCCATTTCAGATCTGTATTTAAGCAGCGCCTAGCGCCTCAGCTGCCAAAGAATGTCACTCCTCTGTGCTACAGTTACACCAGGAGTCATGAATAACAATAATGAGGATGCATGTGTCTCAGTTATGACTGCAGGTCAGTGAGGCTTTTTGTCATATTTCTTCTTTATAATAACCACCTTGGACATAAATTGTAACAAGAGTAGCTCCAAAATATAAAACAAACATTTAGAAATCATCTTAACTTACATGCTATTAAAATATTCTGTTCACCTCAAACAATAGATGATACATTTGAGAAAGCTAATGATTTATTTATAAATATTCAAAGTGCAAAGCTGCACGAAGATCTCAGAGCAACAGAGTGAAATAAACAGTGTGAAGCAGAAGATAAAGTATGCAGCAGAAGAGTAAGTACAACAGGAGGAATATCCTGAGCCTTAGAATGAAGTGAGTAAGAGTGTTTCTTTGGCCTCCCCCACTTCTGCCATAAATAAATCACTTGAATAGTTGTTTTTAAAATAGACATTGGCCTCATTTGCAACATTATCAAATACCACAAATCTTCCAAAGGGCCTTCCTCTACTTCCCTACTTTACATCTTTTTCCCACGAACCTCTATTTAAGCCTGGATTTGTTTTTAGGAATAGCAAGCAGTAAACAGAAGCATGGTAACACTAGCAACGGGAAAGAAACTTTACCAAATTAGAATATGAAAAATGAAGAAAAACAAAACCTTTTCAACAATGACTGAGTAGGCCTACAAACCTAGAGCTCGTTCAGAAACCCTGTTAATCCAAGGATTGCTTTTCACCTCTAGGATGCCCTTTCAATTTCAGGCAAAGCTGTCACGGATGATTACTCCAATGTAATAATGCTTTTTGGGTGCTCTCCTCATATACATTCAGAATTATACCACTCCAGCACGCATTTTATAATCAAACAACAAATCTTTATTTTTAGAGTATTTCAGTGGTTGTTGAAGTGATTCAGACATTCTCTACTTTCTCCTCAAGGGGCCTGTCCTTCAAATACTAACCATGCTCAGCTTGGCCTCCGTGGTGAGTTCTGACTTGTTTCTCAGCTGCACTTGGTGCAACGTCAAGAGAGCTACCAGGGAAGCAGTGAAGATCAATGATTCAGCACCCACCTGCCTGATGGCAGCAGAAACATCTCTGCATCTTTCATCAACAGCAGCAGGATGGCACCACCCTGTGCTCTGGCCCACCAACTTCTTACTAGGTTCGACTCCAGCTCATCATTAAAGCCTTTAACCAGCCTCTACTTTTTCTTCCCTAGAGGGAATTTTCCAGCAGCTATTTCAGCTGGAAACCATCCACTTTTCTGCACCAGCAAAGGCAGAAAGTGGTTAGGGAGAAACAGCCCCAAACATTATGTAAGGCTTTGTATTTCCCACATGCCCTTGTAGCTTTGCCAATATCCCTAAGCTGAGGGGTATGGGGTCTCAGAATCACCACAAGGGCAAGCCACTCTCTCTTTCATCAGAAGCCAAACTGTGTTTCTGTTTCCTCTATTTCTAACCAGCTGGAGGAATTCCTATTAACATCCATAATTCTGCTACCTAAGAAGTTTCCAGCCTTCATATACTGGCGCAACGAGGCTTTTCACAGACATCCAGATAGCCTCCAGAGCCTGTCCCTTCTTTATTTAAAGGAAAGTCCTTTGGTTCAGTCTGGGGAGTTCTGCAGATTGCCAGAGCTCTAGCTGAAGCATTTTATGAAAGAACACATGTTGTAGGCTATCTTCAAAATGGTTTGATTCCCCGATTCTTTTAGTCTGAAAATTAACTCCACAGCTGCAATTCCTTTAACTGCACATGCTTCAACTTCAGGTGACATTTTCCTTTTTTGGCCCTTGTGATCCACATTACTCCTGAAGAGCTCAATTATTTAGGAACCGTAGAACCAAAGAGTAGATAACATACAAGGCCAGGTCAGTCACCTAAACAGACAGTTCTGTGATGTGGCTCGGCGAAAGGGTAGCTGCCAGTTAAATGGACACTGTCCTTTCTCACTTGCATGTTCCCACCGAGTCTGTTGTTCTAATACTGTTGTTCAGCTGACTCTGTAGTAAACTATTTTAGCTCCCTAAATGGGCACAAAGAGAAGCAGGGGGAGAGCGAGGCCAAGGGCAAAGAACAAAAAAGGAATGACCCTTTTAGCCACCATTAAGCCTTGTCAACTGTAATGTAAAACGCACCATGGAAGTAGGATGAGAGCCAGAAGAGAGCCCAAAGCAGATGGGTGAATGGATCCAGGCAACAAAACTAGTGGAGGTGACCTTGGACTTTTTTTTGGTATTGTTTTCAGACAAAGGAAAAGGATTTGGTTACCTAAACATGGGTACCTAGTCCTGTCACAGCCACCCAAGAAGAGCTGAACACAAGGATGATGAGATGCTGGACCTGTAGGCACCCAAGCCCTTCTGGTAGGGCATACTGCAGGCATTTAGTAGGCAGACTACCCCAGGGCATCTCAGATAGCACCAAATGACTACGTGCAGGCAGTAGAGTCCCACCTGAAGCTTCAGATACCAACCTGGATTTGTTAAACACCTGGATTGCCCAGGAGAGAGGAAAGTCACCTGGCAAACAGACGAACGCCCACAGCCTCCATCCATCTACTTGCTGCTATAGGCAAGGGGAGATAAAGGGCAATATTATCAGCTGATAACAAGTTCATATTTTTGTTACATATCATGGAATAGTTTCTCTCTAATTCTACCGAGAAAGCAGAAGTTCATTATTTCTTTGATCTGGAACAGGTTCTTTCTCTCTCTGTTTAGAGATCTGTAGGTAATGGGGCCAGCTACCCTCTTATATTATCATGCTCCACTTTAACAAATTTTTAAGATGGGGGGTCTGTTTGTATTTATATTCCTAACACCTGGAGATAGCAAATTAATAAAATAGTGCTGGATCTATGCCACACCTCAATTAGCCACATTTGGCATGCATAAGGATAGTACCATCTTTAAGCAAAAATAATAACGGATTATTTCAGTTGTGGAGCAATAAAAGGTACTTGTAACAGTAATGCTGTAGTTGGGATGGCCTAATGATAGAAAAAGAGCAAAATCTGAAGAGATGAGTAGATTTTATTGGACCAACTCACACACTGGAAAAAGCGGACAAGTTTTCAAGTGCGAGAACTCAAGAAACAGATGCTTTCATGACAGAACAGCCTACCTATGGCACAAAACGCTGGCAGCAGCAGTATGAAAATGAGGGGAAAAAGCATCAAGGAATAAATCATCCAAAGATTCTCATCAAACAAAAAAATCTTGCATTATCATGATGGGATAACTTAGGATACTTCTGGAATTTGGCCATCCACGTACATGCACGACAAAACTAATGCTTCTTAAAAATAGGCCTGCTATCATGCTAGGATGAATTGCTAGATGGTTTCTAGTTTTAAATCACAGTGCAGATGCAAAGAATTCCAGCACTAAGAACATTTCACTTTAGTGACATTGTCACTGATGTTTAGCCTTACGTAAGCCAATTTCCTATTTTACTTATGCATACTTTTATACTCCACATTTTATTTGATTGCACTGACAGAATTCTATATTGCCCTTCCTCAGCAAATTAAAGTGGTAGATTTCTTTTGTACAACAGACTGAACACCTGTCTTATTTATAATCATATTAATTGTATTGTATATATAAGTTGTTAGACTAGAATAAAGAAAGTTAAATACTAACTTGCTTGGAAGAAATACCTTTAAATCAGAGACGGAGTAGCATATAGTTCCACTGCTTATTTAGTTTATGGATTAGAAGTCATTCTCAAACTGAGGTTAGGCTGGTGGGATAGTATTACAAGTGTTTAAACCATGAGAACAGCATTCTTCATATAGCTGCTTGCAGCTAACACAGTGGGTGGGATTCCCAAAGGAAACCAGCAAATACTATTACCATATGTTAAAATAACACCAGTTTAAAGCCCTGAAACCTATAACCATTGATAGGAATCTGTCAGAAGAATTGAAATGCTCCAGAAGCAATTGTTTTAATGACAAAATCTTCACAGCAGCAAGCATCAAATGTTAATATAATCAGTACAAATATAAGTGCAAAACGCTTTATAAGAAGTAGGGGGAAAAAAAAGTACACTGAAGAATGCAAACAACTACCATACAAGGTACTTAGGCAATTTAAATTCTGACTATCCTTTCTATAGGGATATCAGGGTTTTACTGTATTGCTCCCTCCTTATCTTTAGAGACTAGACATTCCTGGAATGCAAAGTGTTTTATGTAAATGTGGCAAATTCCTCAAAGGTCCTTCAGACCTTTGATCTCTCTGGCTTCAAGTGACAACAACAGACCTCAGGAGACAATAGTTAAATGTCATTAGCCATGGTAAATTTACAATAACAAATGTATAAGCGTATTACAGTTCTGAATGATTCAAAAAATTATGCAAGTGTTAAGGCTTGATGCGAGACCTGAATCATACGGAATCAAGTTGTTCATAGGAATTTAATTTACCACCATTGAAAGAACAGCATGCAAAAAGATGTTTTTTCTAGTGCCCACATCACTTATTAATTACGAGGTTACACAAAATGCTGTATATCTGTATTCAAGGTGCCATTTATGGACATTATTTAGTCTACACTCTTGAGAAAGCTTTCCTGGGAGTGCAGTATTTAGATAAGTTGCCGAGCATATATAAAAACAGTACTTGTTCTTGACAGCTTTGGTACGTGCTCTTAGGCACTGTCCTTGACAATTAGGCATATGAAAACTGGATAGATGTAGGCATCACACACCACAACAATGCACTTTCTGCACACACTTACTTCTGTGATCCCTAACACCAACTGCCTCAGGCTGTAAGGAAGGCATACCTCCTCCATCGCTCTGTACTCGGCAAGATATTTCAGGATCATGGCAAAGGCTAGGAGGAGGAAACAAGGAGACACAGAGCATTAGAAAAGGTAGGATCAATGCACCTTGATGCCGTTGATGTGACAGCAGAGAGTAGGGAGTTTAGTAGCTGGCAATCTTTAAGCTGCTGGTCACCTACCAAAAGGCACCCACACTCAGAGAGCGAGATTTTTTTAGTACGATAAAAGAGAAGGAGGGCTATGTGCCAGGAGCGAACATCCCCTTGAGAAAATAGCAGATTTGAAAACCTGGGAAAGCTATATTTAATTGTAAATAGGGCTAAAAGCCTTGGTGAACACGAGACAACATCCACAAGTCACAAGAGAGCACAGAAAACTTCCCATAAACAGTGTTCAGCTGAGTTTGATCGGTTTGTTTTAGTCCCAGGGGTGGCTCTCTGCTTCTGTGTAATGCAGAACATGCCTAAAGCTTTGAGTGATTCCCAAACTTTGTGCCAATATTCTTAATACACAAGCAGCCTTCGGACCCCCTTTGAAGTATGGCCACACAACCCTAAATCTTGGGGAATCGTGCCGGTATCAGCTTCGCACTTTAAACTACACCCTGATCATTTCTCCTATCAAATGGCTAGAACATGCAAACTGCTCAGTAAGCCTGGCAGCTTGACCCTGATTTCCCTCTTCCTCTTCTCTGAAGCTTTCTGGGCTAACCGTGAAACTGTTGGGATTATCGGAGGTCCCTTTAAACTTCCACACTGTCTGCTTCCTGCAGCTGAGGACGTCCACTAGCCATCAATCAGGTGACCTCTGGGCAAAAAGAAAGGTAAATCAACATGATAAAAATTAATGCGAGCCATGGCAATGAAAGCACCATTTAAATGGAGAATTCTCCCACCGACTTTTCTAAGAGCAGGAACATACAAAAAATGAAACACTGATAAAAGCACATTAGGGGTTTAATCTCACCTCCCAAGCTAGCCTGCTTGGAAAGCTCTCCCCAGACATGATAAACAAGCCACAGTATTTGTTTCATGATGCAAACCCTGAGAGAAATACACTTCTGCCACCTAACAGAGAAATAGTGGAATGATTCAGTCATCTAACCAGACGTGCGGCTTCTAAAATGAAGAGTCACATCATCCAGCCTGCCTCTCCTCTCCACTGCTCTGTTCTACTTTTTACATAGGAAATGGTTATTTATCTGTGGAGGAGGTTGCTGCCTGTAAGCCACTTCATTCCCTTCAGGAAGTGTCTCTGGCCCTGTAGAACAACAATTTTGGTTTTAGCACACAGTATCAAAATGGCTAAATCAATCCTTGGAAAGACAAAGAAAGAAACGGGGAGGAGAAGAATCCCATCTCAAAAGTTAGTGTGTATTGAAGCGCTAGGGAATGTGGATTTGTTCGCACACTCAGAGTTTGAGCTTTCCTGCAGTTGGCCCACCCAGCACCAACCTTCATGCACCCTTCGGGAGGGCAGCAGTGGACCTGCCACTGCCAGGGCAGGGCACCACTTGCCTGCCCACCCACCGCTTCCCAAGTGGGCTGAGCCCCACCACACCTCAAGTCCTTGCATTAGGCTCTTAAAGAGGAGTCAATATTTTAGGGCTCCAGCCTCATTTTCAGCTGCAATAGCCACACCAGTCATAAAATGGACACTGCCGCTTAACAGAATACATGAGAAAGAGGCAATGCAGAATGCTATTTCACTCCTAAAGGAGTTTAACATAAATAAAATGAGAAGTCAAATCAAATCTACATTTCATCTGGATAACTGAGGAATACAAATTTCTGTTATCGTTAGTTATAAGCTCAGACATCTCTCTAAATAGCATCTGTTTAGGCATACTGATTACGCATGATAAGCGGCACTCCATTTTGAAAGGTTTTCCGTTATTGGTAATTCACCTCTGGATGGCTCTCTTTCAAATTCATTTAATAATATTTGTCTTGGAAATAAAAAAAAAAAAAATCTCTAAACATTTGTATTTGAATTTCACATCCCCGAATATTTTGTCAAATAAAGGCTCAAATAGAGAATGCAGTAAAAAGTGACCTGAAATCTCTCTTTTTTTTTTTTTGTTAAATACAGGAAAAAAAAACCCAAGTGTTTTAGTCTTTTCCAAAAGGAGTCAGGTCCCACTCAAGCTTATTAGGCAAACAGGGCCTTTTTCAAAAAGTCAAAAGTTATACATCCTTACATAAAGTTATGAACATGCTAGTTTTGCAGATCTAAAGTTACCAGCAGAATATTCAGTAATTTAAATGATTTGGTGGCATCTGAGAAGGGCTTTCCAAGGAGTTTACAACCTATGTCTCTTCTTCTGCAGAGGCTGACTGCTTAGGGATATATTTATTTTATCCATATACATTTATTTCCCTTCCCATCACATAATATTCAGACACCTCTTATGACATTCCTGTGAGAAAGGAAAAATATTGTAGCCTCACTCCTGCACTAGGTACACTGCAGAATCCTATCCTCATTAAGAGCCCTAATAGAGTTTTTTTCCTGGGACTGTTTGTATTTTATATTTTGTTTTGTGCTGGTTTGAAGATCAATAGAGGGAGGTGCACAATAATTACAAGTGTATAACTATTGTGCAGACCCTACTACTTTCTTTATACCAGCAGGTTTCTGTGACTGTTCAACATCTCAGTGATAAAAAAAATCTACTTACACAGAGTCAGCTGTGGGAATTTATGTCTGTTAGTTCTGCTGCTGCGGCCAATGTTTATTATGTGCATTCTCAGAAGTGCATCCCCTATGGCTAGTTGCTAAGGGAAGTCAGCTATCTTTTCAAGAGTGAACTGAGTCACATTGAGTTTACGTGGATTTTTTCATGAAAGACATACAAGTTTTCAAAGTCCATGCGTTTTCTCTCTCACTTCTTTTTAGCTGAGCATACATAATTAGCTGGCAAAATAACCTGGTAAAACACAGTCATTTTTTGCAACTCTCTCAATTTATCTTTTGTATGTAGTTGCAGGTCTCCAAGAAGGAATGGGATCAACAAACTAATAGACTGAATTATGGTCTACTAAAGTGTCTGTCTGTGAAGGACACTGTTCATTTTAAACCAATGGTCAGGGCATCATTCAAAATTACATTGCCTGCTGTTTGTCACCAGAACTTTTACGAAGTAATTGCCAAAGTAATGACCTATACATACCCGAGCAGGTCACGGTAAATGTGAATACAATAGTGGTCAGGGATGCTGATACAGAAAGATGCTTCCAAATGTACAAGTTTACAGTTAGTTTAGCTCCCAGTGTCTCCCTCCAGAGGTATCAGCTCTAAGGCTTTGTCCACAAAAGGTGTTAAACTACTTTAATTATACCAGAATACACTAACCATCTGGGAAACAGTAATATCAGTACTGTAAAGCAGTAACAGAAAAGGAAACAACGTATACTGTAAGGCACACACATCCCAGTACGACAGTTAAGACTACCTTAGTCTAGTAATTTTGGTTAAAAATAATAATAATAAAAAAAATCTGAGGCTGTTAATATTACACTCTAGGCCCGTTCCTGGTTATTGAGGCAACAGTCTGTCAAGGACACAGCTGCTTAGTCCCATATATGACCAAAACAAGTAATTCCAGATGAATGTTAGTCATGTTTCTAACTCTGGCTCAAAAGATGCCCTTTGTGGGGAACATGGGTGCCACCCTGCACCTTAAGAGCTCCTGACACATTCTCTGCAGAGCCCAATGTAAAACAGGAGCACTCTGAAACGCTACTTAAATGCTTAAGACAACACACCAAAAAAAGCAACTGAAACAGGCATAGGAAAAGAATTTCTAACCACAGAAAAAAAAAAAAAAAAGCTTTCAGGGCATTTTAACTACAGTTCTGAGATGCTCAATCCCAACCTATTCTTATCTCAAATTTCCTATCACTCTGAGGTTTATTTATATTTCAACTGGATACAGTCATCCTACCTTCTTTGTCACACAAGTCCTTCTTCATGTGTCAATGGCTGAGCTCTCCCCTTAACAACTTCATACAGTGCAGAAACTTCTCATACATGACGTCTCTCTGTGCTATATATTGGGAGGCATCAACCACTTTCTCCTCTTAAATTCTTTGATCCATGGATTCATACCATAAATTTCTTACCCTATCATAGAATCACAGAACGGTTGAGATTGGAATGAACCTACCTGATATTATTTTTTGTAGAAAAAATATTTTGCTCAGGGAGGCTGGGCAGGCAGAAATATCACAGAAACTGGATCCAGTTACTTTCAGTATCTCTTCTTTACTGATGTGTGAAATATCTTTTGGGGCAGGTCAGCTGAACGAATGCAGTACAACAGGTTGGGCATGTCTGTTTGTTTTCAGTCACAGAACACTACAGGATTTGTTATCTGGCATACATACATTCTGCACTGTCATAGTTCTGTCAAAGCACAGATTGTGGAAACCTTGGCTACTAAGCTAGCTCATAAAAACTAAAACTGGATTTAGCCAAGTTTCCAGAGAAATCAGCTATCCTCATAGCAAAGCAAAACATTCTGTAAAACATTCAAAAGTAAACCAAAAGATTATGATAGCAGTCACGGTAATTAAATTAATCAATTACTTGTGTGCTGAAGATATTAACAAAAGGATTTGGAAAGCATTAAATAAATGGGATTTCTGAACTATATTGGTTCTTCCTGCTTCCTCATTCCCAGGGAGCCTCCAGATATAGGGCAAGGAATAATTAGCTACAGCCAGTAAGCAAAGGTTCTTCAGGAGAGAGAGACCATTAACACCTTTGTAAATACAGAAGTAAAAATTTTTACCTGTAGCTGTTGGGTTACCAGAAAAGAGCACCGGATGAAGGTGAGAGCGCTCAGTTAACCTTACCTTATCTCTACTCAATGGACAAACACTATTTGTTAATACGCCAGCTCCCAGGTACCATTTTAAAGGAAAACTCGTATCAAATTACAGTAGGTTAACCTGGTAGATCACGAACTTTAATCACGATACAGCAATGGTCTTCCAATAATCAACGCTCTAACAGGACTTTGGCTTTCAATAAGCTCAGGCCAAAC